ATGGAGGGAAATGATCACAAGACAGAGAGGGCATTATGGATCAGTGGAATGCAGCTAGTCCAGTCTGGGTAAGAAAAGCAACATGCATGGCGAGAGGTCAGGAGGTCAGGTGAGCAAGAGCCTCCTGTGTCCCAGGGGCCTCCCCTGAGGATGGTTCAGGAGCCTGGACTCTGTCCTGAAGGCAGCAGGAACAGTGCATGTATTCTAAGCAGGGCAGTGGCATCACCATGCTGGCATTCTAGAATGATCCCTGTGGCAGTTGCATGGGAACAGGTCGGAGGAGGTGGGTGGGACTGTGGGCAGAGAGCCAGTCAGACGCCTGTTGGCTGTGGGTCCAGTACGACGCCCCCGCGGTGTGGCTGACCTGTAAAGCCGCCCGTCTTCCCTCAGGAACAAGGTCGCAAGCTGAGGAGCACCATGCTGGAGCTGGAGAAGCAGGGCCTGGAAGCCATGGAGGAAATCCTGACGGGCTCTGACCCCCTGGACCCTGCCGAAGTGGGGGATCTTTTCTATGACTGTGTTGACACGGAGATTAAGTTCTTTAAGTGAAATAAGCATTCCCGTCCCCCTTCTTATTTAAAACTTCCCACCTTACTAAGTTACCAGCAAAACAAACCACTCTCCTGTTTGAGTAAAATGAGAAAGTGAAGACGTGGCCTCCTTTTCTGAAGCTGGGTTGAACGGTTACCTTGTGTTCTGCCTCGAATCTCAAAACGTCCCTTCTTCTGCAACCTAAGCCCCCTTCCTTTGCAGTGTAACGTGTATCTCCTTTGCCTGTTGTTCGGTTTTGTGACTAATTGTGGATTTTAAGCTGCTATTACTGTACTTCAGTGACAATGGACACATTAGCCTTTGACGAGAGGACTAGAGTTCATCAAGCCTTGAAAGACAGGCTCTGCAGTGCTGAGTCTGCGGGAACAGCAAACCTTTTGAAGTCTTACTCTTTCTCTCAGTAACGATTTCGTTCAGGTTAAACAAAAGGCACTTGTCCACACATACAGGGCTCTTGTGTGTGGATCCAGGGAGTCCCTCCTGGCTTCCTGAACCTGAGTGTATGCCCGTAGTGAGCAGTGTCTTCTGGGGAACAAAACCAATGGGAAGGAATAAAGGGAAGGGGGTCCTCTCCTGTCCTAGTTCCTTCCTAATTCCAGTGATTCTGAAGAACCTGTTTGCCATGCACTGTGCTCGTGTATGGAGGACCCCAGGGCTGTTCCCATGTGCAAGAGAACAGGTCACCTGGCTTGGCTGGAACCTCTGCACTGCAGAGACTCAGAGGTAGGCATGCCAGGGACTTCCCTGAGTCACCATGTGGATCTCCCCACATGTAGCACGCTGCCACATGGATGTGGCCTGTGTGGAAATGCCAGGTTTAGTTACGACTGTCAAGTCTCGAGTTAATTAAATGGCCCTGTGGCATCGTTCCATCCCAGGAAGCTGTGAATCTCTTGGCTAGTGAGGGAAAGCAAAGGAGAAACTCTTGATTATTTAGATTCTAGTTTGAGTAGCTGGAAGCTGAGCAGTCGCTACATTTATCTCAGCAGAGAGACTTCAATTAAACTGATTTGTTTCCAACAACGTGTTCACTTAAAGGATTTGACTTACCACCAGAGCACAGAAAAGCATGCAAGAAGACCAGATGGGCTTAGCATTGGGAAGACAGAGGGCAGGAAGGCAACAGATGGATGTGGAAGCATTTCTCTGCAGGAGAGCCGTCCAGCCCCCTCCCTTCCTGCCCAGCCTGTTACAGCCCACAAATCTGTAGACAAAGCAGCTGACCTCTCCGGGTCTTCCAGACCTTTTATTTCTCACAGCCCACATACCCCAGGAGCTGTCTTCAGACTGGTAGTTGATGTGGGTGGTTGATGGTGGTATAGGGCTTACCTCCATCTACAGAAAACTTCAACCACTTCTAAAAAGGGGCAGAGAGAACTCACAGGTATGTGTGTTAACAATGCAGCGAGTGAGAGCGCCATTTGGGCCCAATCGTTCTTGACTGGAATCTACAAACAAATCTGCCCAGCAGTAGGCCGAGTTAGTAACCAAGGAATTAGTAACTCCTCAGCAGCAGTAGTGTATAGGCCGTGGAAACCAGAAGGCGCTGGCCTTGCTGACCCAGATGTGAGCACGGAGGGCTGGAGATTCTATTGGAACCAAGCTTCTTTTCTACTGATAGTCCTTTAAGAGCATGGCTGTGGGAGGGCCAGGAGCTTTTTGCTAGGCAGTTTTGTAAATTCTGTGTGAAAATGATTTACTCCAATGTGGAGAGAGGGGAAGAAAATTTCACCTGCCTGAGATAATGGCGACCAACCGTGGTGGCCTGAATTGCTAAGAGCTTCATACGGGGTTGGTCTTGGGCTCCCCCTGTTGATGAATTTAAGGTCTCTTAGGTGGAGCAGCCACTCGGAAAGCACTGGGTTGTAGCTGCTAAGGTAGGGAGGGAGAGGCCCAAGGATGATGTAGGTACCCAGTCCTTCCTGAGTCTACCTGCCAAGTGGGTATTTAGAACAAGATGCTACAGGAACCCTCTCTAAAATGTCACTGCATGGTGTCACTTCCACCTATGATGGAAACATGTTATCACATTTGGTCTGTCTGAGACGACCAAGGTGATTTATGGTTTGATTAAAAGTCTAATGAGGGTAAATTAGAGACCTGCTTTCATTACCGTGCATCAGGTGTCACAGAAAGCCCTGATAGCATTGTCATTACCCAGTCACGCAGTGGGAAGAACAGTGACTAATTCCATTAGGGACATTGATCTTAGTCAAGCATCTCAGAGAAGGGCCAACCTTGAGAGTTGTCCTGGCTGACTAGTCCAACACAATTGTGATATCACGTATCACCACTAGAGGGCGCGACAGCCTTCCATGGCACTGCCTGGCTGAAGTTGCTCAGTGGAGGTGCTCTGGGTGCAGTTAAGCCCGAAACAGCAGCAGTGGGCAGATCCTCTGTGTGTGGGATGGGCGAAGGCAAGGCAAGGGGAGAGCAAAGGATCTGCTGATGGGGCTGCGCTCACGTTTAGCCACTTCTATCTTCTTCATGTTAACGGCTGCCAATGTGTCGAACAGGCTGTGGCAGGGCAGACGTTTGTTTTAAAATACTCTTGACAGATTCTGCATTGGAAAAATGTTTACTACCTGGATAACTTCTTGACCAGGGGTTGGCTTTTTGAAGGTAATATGGGAAAAACGAATATTCAAACGAAAACACGAAAATAATGTTCAAAGGTCGTACTGTGTAAATAGCTTCCTAGCTTGATCCATTTGTGTATCTATTAAGATTGGGGGGTGGCGCCTGTGCATGCTTTGTGCAGAAAGAAGACACGGCCATAAAACTGAGATCTCTCCCCTACTGCCAACCCCCATAACCAGACATAAGCTAGTTAGTCTTGTCCTGTAGATGGCTTTGCCTTAGGTGAAGGCAGCTTCACGTGCAAAGGCAGAGGCTCCAGTAAAAGATAATTAGCAAAGTGTACTCTTGGCGGTTTGAAACTTTAGGTAGAATAAGATATAATCAAAATGATGGGAATCCCGTAGTGCCCAGTAACATAAGATCCAGTGTTATTATTAGAAAGTCTTTTTTATACACTAACAGAGCAGGTATTAGATCTTAGCAGCGAAGTTCCTTCACTGTTGGGTGAATCGTTAGGTTTAAAAAATACCAACCGGGCAAATGACTCTGCTTCCTCCTTAACATCAGCCCACGTTGGTACGGGGGGAGTGCAGCTCTGGCTGGCCCAGCGGGGAAGCCGGGTGGCAGGGGGCAGTGTGTCCGTACTGTAACCACGAACTGCATTGACCGAAGAGCCATCCTCTTTTACTGGGAAGGGTCTTTGAGGGCTAAGCTTCAAGGAAGCTTGGGGAGGAGGAGGGAGGGGAGCCCACCTCACTGGAGGGAGCCGTGGCAATGCCCAGCTGTCCCAGCACTACCTTAGGCCTCCCGTGAGGTGGCATTTCATTCCACGCAATCCTAGGTCCCAACTCCCATGCCATGGTTTGTGTCAAAATGTACTTGATCTGATTGGCTCCAAACATCCCGACATGTCACATACAGATTTCCTGTGGGAACCAATATGTACATGTTTGCAATCACGTGGTGAGAATTTACATGTGTTAGCTGGAAAATGCTATTAGCGGGGAATAATACAAAAGAAAACCTTTCTGTTTCCTGCAGTGGAAACTGACTATGTAGTCTTAACAGTCTTTTGTACAAATATCTACAAACCAGATAACGTCCCTATTCTCTGCTTGCCCTTGGAATTGTCTCTACATGCATCAAGCATACAATAAAAAAAATACCGAAGTAAATATCCAGTGGTCTCCTCTGTTTTATGTTTCATGAATAATGTAGGCATCTTTCACAACAGAGAAAATGTAGGAAAGCAGTTCTGTTTTCCTGACTGGAATCTTCAGAAAACTCAACCAGACCTGCAGTTGCCCGCATTCTGTACGGTTCTGTGGATAAATTCCCACTTTATAAATAAACATAAAACCACAGTGAGATACTACTTCGTACCCTTCAGGATATCTACTATATATAATATGAAAAAAAGAATAAGAGTTGATGAAGATGTGGAGAAAGTTTTAACCCTAACGGCACATCCACTGTGGAAAACAGTGTCTGGAGGTTGCTCACAATACTAAAAGTAGGATAACTATATGACCTAGCAATTCCACTTTGGGTATGTACACAAAAGAATTGAAAGAGTCTGGAAGAGGAACTTGTACACACATGTTTATAACAGTGTTGTTTACAATAGCTGACGTAGGGGAGCAGTCCCGGTATCCTTACATGGACAAATGGATTTTAAGCAAAATGTTGTAAATCCAGACAATGGAACATTCTCCAGTCCTTGTAAGGAGAAGGAAATGCTGACACGTACTGCAACATGGATGAACCTTGAGCACATTCTGCTAAAACGAATCACACAAGGACAAATACGATATTCCACTTATACAAGGTACCTACCGGATTCAAGATCCTAGACACAGAAGGAAGGGGGCTGCTGGTGGAGATAGTTCTAATGGGTATAGAGCGTTTCAGTTTTGCAAGAGGAGTGGGTGGATGGAGCTGGACGGTGGTGATAGCTGCACAACTGTGTCGATGTTACCACTATTTTTTTAAGAGATCTTTTTGCACTAGCTGGAGAGACAGAAATCATCCACCAGGGGGGATGGCCACTCCGTAATCCCTTCTCTTCCATTCTCCTCGTGGGATTTTGGGCACACACACGCACATATGCCTGGTATGAGTTTTAAGCCTCTGTGTCCAGGACTCAAACTGCCAGGAGTCCAGTGCTGTAACCATTACACCATCTGCTGGTCCCTCAATGTCACCACTATTGAAGTGAACACAGAAACTGGTTAAGATGGGTAAATTTTATGTGATGTATATTTTAACCACAACTTTTTTTTTTTTTTTTTTAAGGTTTTTGCTGTAAGTCGTGTTTGCTCGCTGGAGAGAGACAGTGAGAGGAACATTGAGAAATCACCCCGGGGGGTGGGAGATGGCCATGCTGCAATCCCTTCTCCATTCTCCACTTGGGGTTTTGGGCGCCATGCACACATTCCCCAACTTTTAAAAATTTTAAATTTTATTCTCTGTGTGCATGTGCTCAACAGAGAGAGGGAGAAAGCATGCTTAGTAGGG